TCAGTAAGGATGAACTACACACTAAATCATTGAGTGGATTGACGAATAAACCAGTGAAAGTTTTTGAAAATGAGCAGCTTAGAAAATGTGGGGAAATTTAACAAATCACAATGCATAACTAAACATCTAAATGAAATGGCATAGTTGACTATAACCATCCCTCCAATAATCCAACTATAAAGTTACTGGATGAAGAAGCATAGTATCTTCCTGTGAAGTAAAATTTCACAATAAAGGTCCTAAGGAAAAGTTGCACAAATTATTCTTATGAAAATAAAGCAAAGCAGAACAAATAGCTTCTTGTGAAGATCAAATCTTTGGTCTAACTTCATGTTATCTAGTGTTCTATGTCCTTACTCAAATATTCCATTAAAGGTCAGTGATGATTTCCCCAGATATTAAAAACAATCCAGTAGGCAAATCTAATGTATGCAATTGGGACTGCTAATGTTTGCTAAGGTGGCCAACTGTAAATATTTGTAGTAGTAGTACAACTAGTAAGAATTATTTTAATGAATTTTAGTTTTATTTAAGGTATAGGAATGAATTTTGCTTTACTGCTGTATTCATTTATGATGTAAGCCATCCTAGAATTGCAGATCAGATCAAAGGAAGGAAGGAAGGAAGGAAGGAAGGAAGGAAGGAAGGAAGGAAGAAAGAAAGATAGTTAGTTAGTTAGTTTTCTGTGCAATATGGCAGCCAGTTGTGAACATCATTTGATGCATAACCAAAATTACATTGAAGGAAGCTCCACTGAAATCAATGGGAAGTTGTTCTAATGAATTAGCTCCAGGGAATTAAAAAATTGCCCCCAGTTATGTAATATTTCATTTACTGTATTGCATTTTAATCCCATCCTTCCTTCAAGACGCTCAGAGTGGCATACATAAATTCTTACCCACTCCACGTTTATCCTCACAATATATTCTGTAAAATAGGTTAGGTTGACAGAGATTGGCTTACAGTCACATACTGAGCTTCATGGTTGAGTGTGGATTAGAATAGTAAGTCCAAATCCAAGATGGCGGCGCGTGCAGACGCTGCGGCTGAAAGCTCCCTGGAGGGGAGTCAGGGTTTGTTAGGATGTAGTTTTATGTAGTTTTTCAGTTTCATTGTTCCGCAAGGGACAATGACAATAAAGATATCTATCTATCTATCTATCTATCTATCTATCTATCTATCTATCAAGTGACACAGTTTGCTATCCAAGGTACTCTTCACCTGTATTTTAGAGGTCATATCAAATTTTTAGATAGATACAAATTGCTATGCCTTGCAATTACAGATGCAGAACTGCATGTTAAAAAATAGTGTCAGGTGGGATTAGATAGGAATATTGTAGCACATTCCTAAACCACCCATCTCTGTTCAGATTATATAACAGCATTTTTCTGGGTAGGTAACTGACCAATCAACTAACGTTCAATTTCTCATATTGAATCTGTAATTTCTCAAAAGGTGGCATAGGTACAACTAAGGGATTTCAATAGCGTAGATATCAGCACTCTAAGAAAGCATTAATGTAGCTGGAACATTAAGTCCTTCACTAATGTGTAAAGTTTTAAAATACATATAACCTTCAGGGACATCTTATGAAGGAGACTGTATTCATTAAAAAATATTAGATTCATTAAGACAAGCAGTTCTCTCCCCTCCCCAAGTTTCAGATGCAAAGCAAATTCTACAGAAGATTCCCATTTTCCTTTCAAAGATTAATATAAAATGCTCCTTTTTCTCGAAGAAACCCTCAAACACTTCAGGGCTTCTGAAACACTAACACTGTAGATCTGGTGTCCAAACACAAGCCAAAACAAATGATTAGCAAACATGATGAGCACTTAAATTAGGCTTAGCTTTCAGGAGCAGTATGTTTTAGGATGATGGTGAAGATACACCCATATGAGACTTAGTTTCAGCTGGTATTGGCTGGTTCTTGGATTAGGTTGTATCCACAAAATAATCTTGTTAACACTGCTTGCACAGTGGAACTTCCCGTCCTTCTCTTTTGCCTGCGTACTGACGTCTGTTCTGGGGGTTCTCCCCACCCTCTGGAGCGTATTTGCTGCTTGATTGTACTGCCTGAACGCAGCTGCTGGAGCACTTATATTACAACAGTGGGGAGAGAAAAGTGTATGGTCATTCCATCGCGCAAGTGGAAGTTCTTGCGCTAGTGGAATGGTTTCATTGGATATAACCAATAGTGTTCTATTCAATTATATCCCTTCACACACTGAAGGCTCTTCAATTCAGTGGCGGTTTCCATGGACAGAAGGTGGGTAGAGCAGTGATTTTTGTTGATTCCCCTTTCCCTCTACTGACTGCTGTGCCACATCTGTTCCAGAAATTTGGGGAACTCTAGGGAACAACATGGAAGTGACATACGGCGCAGCAGGAGAGAGGAGGATTTTGTGGGTTTTTGTGTGAAAATCACCATCCTTCCTTGAGGCTTCTGCTGAAACCAAGAGTCTTCCATGAGTAGAGAAACAATTGAATACAATCCATATGAATTATTGCTACAGTGGTACCTCAGTTCTCGAACGAAATGCATTCCGGAAGCCCGTTCGGCTTCCAAAACGTTCAAAAACTGAGCCATGGCTTCACGTTCAAAAACTGAGGCATGGTTGCAAGAGCTTCTTGCACTCAGCGGAATCCGTGTTGCAAGTTCAGGTTCCGAAAAACATTAGAAGCATTTACTTCGGGGTTTTCGGCGTTCACGAACCGAAACATATGACAACGGAGGCTTTCGGGAACCGAGGTTCCACTGTACTACTATATTTCTGCTGTTTTAAGGCTGAATTCAACTGAATAGTTGTGCCAGTGGAAACTAGCACAATGGGGCTTTCTACCCCCTCTCCTCTCCACCCCATACCCTCTCAGATCAGTTCTGGGAAGTTGGAAGAAACCCCAGAACAAGCTGGGGGACGAGAGGGGAGATTGTTGTGTCTGGCAAGCAGAAGTGCTTGCAAAGATGGAACAACTGTAACCGTGCGATGCTGAATTCCTCCCTTAGTGTTTTACCATGTTGTATTTAATTTTACTGCAGGAGCAAGTGCACGTGCTTGATCTGAAAGGTGGAGTATTTAAAGTTTTACATAACCAGCTCTATACTACTTGACTAAAAAGATGGTTGTGAAAGTGGCGGGGGGAGTCAATTGACCGATACTTTTCTTTGTGTAACTATTTTCAGCTTTAGGAACCACCCTACCATTAGGCTGAGTGAGACTATTGTCTTAAGCAGCTGATTTTGGATGTTAGGAAAGGGGAACAAATTGACGAACTATTTCATTTATCTTCATTGCACTTTTACTGCAAGGGAGAGGAGGAAGCACTCTTGGAATTTTCTGCCTCAGGTGCCAAAAGATATTGGCCAGCTTTTAAGTGTTACGTACTTTGGGGTACTTGAGGAGGTTTGTGCCATTTGCTGCTCTTCCTCGGAAAGCAAATGTCTTGGGCCACCCTGCTTGCCTGTGGCACATGACTCTTCTGAAAGAGTCAGAGAAGCAAGGCGTAGGGCTCAGTCTGCGGAACTCTTGACATGAGAACACGCAGCGGTGGTGGCTTTGCATCCCTTCCTCTACTTTGCATGTAGTGACCATGGGAGACGTTGAGAAGGGCAAGAAGATCTTTGTTCTGAAGTGTTCGCAGTGCCACACAGTTGAGAAGGGAGGCAAGCACAAGACTGACCCTAACCTGCATGGTCTTTTTGGCCGAAAGACTGGTCAAGCCGAAGGTTTCTCTTACACAGAAGCCAACAACAGCAAAGGGGAGAAGATACACTGATGGTTTACTTGGAAAACCCCAATAAGTATATTCCAGGAACCAAGATGATATTTGCTGGCATTAAGAAGAAGGGAGAGAGGGCAGATTTAATAGCATACCTTAAGGAGGCCACTTCAAACTAATGGCTTCTGCTGCCTTATTTATTTCACCATACAAATGGAAATGACTCTCTGATGAGATTGGTTTTTAAACTTTCTATTTGTACATGCATTATATTGTAACAACTTCAAAAAGCCTTCTCGTCAGCCAGAGAACTTTTGATCATGGATCGTTCTTAACGTATGCACTTATTCCTATATTATAATTTATAGAATTGTGCAATCAGGCTTGAATAAGTACAGTCAGGGTGACTGTAGCGTTTCCTGGTCATGTAATTAAAAAACAAACAACCCCTGTCAAAGAGAGAGAGAGAGAGAGAGAGAGAGAGAGAGAGAGAGAGAGAGAAGCAAGGTGTAATGCAGTCTAGAGACTCTTCTCCTCTTCCCAGTAAACTTCCAGAGTGACTCCCCTTACCTCTGCAAAATTACCATGGGTCTCCATTTCATGTTCTTAAAGAAAGAGAGAACAAAGTGACACTAATCAATTCCTAACTTGGCAGCTTCCCAAGTAACAATCTCTAGCCCACACTGTTCACATCCCTTGAGGCTTGGTGGAAACAGCACTAGCACAGATTCACAAGCTTGAGCAGTTGGGGTAAGAAATCAATTCAAATCCCTGCAAACAGTGAAATGTTTACCCAGTGACCCTTTCGTCAGTGAAGCAGAACTGACAGTAGCTCAAAGTAAGTTTAGTAGTTGATAAAGCATCCAATGATTCTGCAATTAGTTTGCTGGAGATTAGAAAGGCTATATCATGAGATAGTGTTCATTAAATGCTTAATAGACTGTGCATTCTCTGCAAATCACTACTGTATATCAAAAAGTGCACATGCAACAGAATGAACAACCTCCTTTACTGGTAGAACAGGTTCCATCCACTCAAGGGGACAAAATAAAAACCTGTGCTTTAAAAACCTCTACAAATTTTTTTGACAAACAGGCCACAGTCAGTCATTAAAATTGTTCACCGCTCTCTTTACTATTTTGCCATTTTGGGCAGGAGCAAGGTTAAGCTTTGCTGAACAGAGGCACTGATTTTATAATGACCTATCCCAGTAAGCTGTAGGAAGAAATGGAACTTTTATTAAACTACATTAACAGAAAGATTTTAAATATATATTAATGTATAGACATAGAGCTAAAAGCTCTAAGCCCATGCTGGGGGGAGCAGCCACTGAATGAATCTTCCATCCTTCCTTCACTTTTTTTTTTTTTTTTTTTTTTGAGGTTGAAGCAGAAGAGAGCAGCTATCCTATAACCTTGACCAAATAATCCTTCCAACAAGCCTGCAGTTTCAGGAGGGACACACATGGAATGAGCCGTGACAGGGGAAAGGGACACCAGCCTGGCCTAGCTGAATCAATTCTGATGATCAGTGGTCTGAGATGTCGCATCCAGATCACCCTCACATCCTAAACGCATTATTATTATTTTTATGCATGAAGGGAGCTGCTCAAGCCATTTTCAGCAACCCATAAATTGAAACGAGACAGCCTAGAGTTTGCATGGATTAGCTGCAGACTACTTTTGCTGTGCAACTCCACTAGAACTGAAACTGTTGCTTGCAAAAGTCTTGTTCCATAACAACAAGCTTCTGACTATCAAATGGAATGTAATCAGGGCTATTATTGCAATAATATACACCAGATTTTTCTGTGGAATCGTTCCTTAAATAGATGCACCCAGATGGTTCAAGTGCAGGGAGTCCACCTCTGTTACAGAAAACGGTTGATATGTACGTTTACACTGCCTTAATGGTCCTGTCCACTCTCTCCTGCATTCCCCCAAATACTTTATGTCACTAACCTGCTTCTCATGTAATTGGGGAGTAGGAGAGCAAAAAGCAAACTCATTCAGAAATTGCTTCATGCTTTTATATCAAATGCTTGTGACCTGGCTCAGAGCTAACACAGCATGGCATCTTTCTGGATACTGTTTTCTCTGTTGAGAAAATCTCAGAGATTAGCAGTGCTAAAAGCATGTGAAACATGCATTCAGTTTAGTTAATGTGTGAATGCAGAGATAACAATGTAAATTTACCTCATTACAATAATATGCACTACAATGGCTCTTTTTGGAATGCAATAAAAAGGCAGATGGGAGGCTATCCTGGCGCTTTGCAGTTTAAAGTGGCACAGTCAAGCACTTCGCTGTCAGAAATAAATCTCTTTATAGGTTGGTCTTGTACTATTATAGCACTGTAATCAGTGGAACCATCCTCCGAATGGACCAATTAAACATCGCACAAAGATGTTCTTAGAGTTTAATTTCAGCAAAATCTCATTTGTTTGCAAAACTCTTAAAAGCCAAAGAACAATGTTCCTTTCTCCAACAATTATAACACCCTCTCTTTCAGTTTGGCAAGCAATACGGTTGCTCCAGTTCAGGGCCAAGAAATTTTTTGGGGGGAGAGAACACAAGATTATGAAAGCAAACATTTCAAATGAGTAAAAGGTAAAGATAAAGGACCCCTGACAGTTAAATCCAGTCGCGAACAACTCTGGGGTTGCGGTGCTCATCTTGCTTTACTGGCCGAGGGAGCCGACGTTTGTCCGCAGAGAGTTTTTCTGGGTCATGTGGCCAGCATGACTAAGCCGCTTCTGGCAAAACCAGAGCAGTGCATGGAAACGGCGTTTACCTTCCTGCCAGAGCGGTACCTATTTATCTACTTGTACTGAGAGCCAGTGTGGTGTAGTGGTTAAGAGTGGTAGACTCGTAATCTGGGGAACCAGGTTCATGTCTCCGTTCCTCCACATGCAGCTGCTGGGTGACCTTGAGCTAGTCACACTTCTTTGAAGTCTCTCAGCCCCACTCACCTCACAGAGTGTTTGTTGTGGGGGAGGAAGGGAAGGGAGCTGCTTTGGGACTCCTTCGTGTTGGTTTCTGCTTCCTCACTGAGCAGCAAATGCTTGTCACAAGACAATTGTTTACATTCCACAGTCGGAGTTACTGTTGGGTTCCCACGGGAATGGGAGACTGGATGTGACGTACACTGGTTTCCTGTTTTTCAGTGTTCTCTCGGTTTCTTTGTGTCGAGAGGGAGTTGCTTCTCTGCTCTCACAGAGGCAAGATGTATGCTCTCAGCATAGCTTGTAAATAAAAATTAGCATGTAGCACATACTGCCTTATCCTTTCGTCTGCGGATCATGCTCTGCTTGGGCTCAAGATAAGACGAGCCTGTACCAGCTCCAGATGGGCCGGAGCTGGTCGAAATCTCACACTTCGGGTAGTGATAAAGCGGGATATCAAATCCAAACTCTTCTTCTTCTACTACTACTTTTGACGTGCTTTTGAACTGCTAGGTTGGGCAGGAGCTGGCACTTGTCGAGGGGATTTGAACCGCTGACCTTCTGATCGTCATGCCCTAGGCTCAGTGGTTTAGACCACAGCGCCATCCACAGAAAAACCCACTTTAAAATAATTTTAAAATGCAACACCCAAGAAAAGTCAACCATCCACTGAAATTTCAGTAAAATCAGTTAAACTGGTTTCAATGACTATACAGTATCACAGAATACAGTTTAAACAACCTCAAAGGGAATGCAGCATTGTCTAACTTAATCTCATTCAGAAGTCATTCATATCCACAGTCAGTGAATCAAGAAGGCTAGCTACATATAGATTGTGGTTCATATGAAGGGGGTGGGATCTTGGATCTTGAGCTCCATGATCACTGCAGATGGTGACAGCAGTCACAAAATTAAAAGACACCTGCTTCTTGGGAGAAAAGCGACGACAAACCTAGACAGTATCTTAAAAAGCAGAGACATCATCTTGCCGACAAAGGTCTGTATAGTTAAAGCTCCATTTTCACTATCTTGATTTCCCTAGTTTTTTGTTTTTATGACAACAAATTATAATCTCTATGGGTAGGGTCCTTTTGTTTCACTTCCCCCATCTTTAGATGCATTTTTTTGTTTCCTCCTCTGCCCTTTCTTCCATCTCTTTTTAATTTTGTTTAACTTAATATACATTCAACAGCTAAACCTTAAAAAAATAAGATTTTCCACAATCTTTCACACATACACAGTCAAACACATTTCTACCTACATATCGCCATACACCAGTATATTATAAAAGGGTTGTGAAAAAGCCGCTTCACATGTTCCATATGGCTTAGAGTCTTAACAATCTTATTTTTCCAGATCTCCTAGCTCCCAGACAGTCTATATCTTCAATTTGTCCTTTACTTTCTCAATAGTCTGTATATTTTTCCATCTCATTTTCTTCCATATCTTAAAACTTCCCTGTTGCCCTTTTAAAGTGAAATGCTCATTTGCCAATAAAGATGCTAAATGCAGAGATGGGGGGGGGGGGAATCATTGTTTATATTGATCCCAGATTCCTAAGCAAACATTTACTACACAGGATTCTTCTATGTAAACTGTTTTCCTAATCTTCTTATCCATTTGTCCTCTGCAATTTTCTTCTATGTTATACCATACATGCTAGACCAGCAGCATCTACGTAATAGCTCCCTCTCTCCTACATCTTAGGGTGTCCAGCTTGTATTGCCTAGACACTAATATGTGAAAAAAATCACAATGAAAATGTAAACATAAGCATTGCACTATCTTAATTAATCTGTAGCAAAGGCTTCACTACTACGAGAGCAATACGATATAGATGTTTTTGAGCAACAGCATGAGATTCTTCAACATTTTTTAAAGGAACTGGGCATGCTTAAACTGGGCATGTTAAAAAAGACAACAAAGACATTAGCATGTTCTCTGCTTTTGATTTTGTGTTTCCCAGTTCCATGCTTTTGGATATACGAGCCATTCCTGAACATATAAAGGTGTGTGATATATATAGATACAGATATACAGATACAGATATATAATCAAGTTTTTGTGTTGTTGTTTTGCAAAATAATATGGCTGCTTCTAAAACACAGCATGATACAGTTACATGTCTAAGGCTGACAGCAAATTACAACTGGAATCTATGCCATATTCTGACATACTTCAGCCTTCAGAAGAGAAACGTAAAAGTAATCTAATTTGATTTCTCACCATGAGAATGTCTATGAGAAGTTCTTATTTCTGCTCCTGCTAAAAAAATGAATTAGCCTTAAGTCACAGTTCTGTACGAGCTTGTATTTTTTGAAAAATGTGATTTACAGTAATTACCTCTGCAAAGCAACATCAGACTGCCCCCCTTATGCTTTTGAAGTTCAGCCATTCAGAAAAGCCAAAGAGAACATCCTAGTCAAGTATATGACGAGTGGGAAAGGAAAGGGAATTGATTTTGTTTCCCTAGATATTACCTTGTCATTCACAGGAAGGTTTCTGACACAGAAGACCAAGTAAAATGCATTGGCCATGGAACGAGGAGAAAGAGGCCAGATTGACTCAAGCCATAAGGTACACTTTAATTATGCTGCTTCACTTCCGTTTTTTAGCAAGTATTCCTGGCAGTCCTCTCTACAGAGCTCAAGTTCGTTGGAGACCATTCAGAGGTAACAACTATGGAAATGTCAGGGTCACTGAACAGCTTGTGCCAGGTGTCACAGACAAAAGATCCTCTTTGAAAACCTAGCAACTTTGGATGACTCACACTAATAATTGTAGAAGCATCTGACATCAACAAAAAATGCCTTTTTTCCCTTTATCTGGACACCACAACTGTCCTGGCTTCATTTGCTGTTGTATGTATAAAACTATAACAGTTGTACAATGCTAGAGGTACTTAACCCAAACCAGCAAATTATTCTGATTAATATTATCAGATGCATCCATACCCAGCAATGTGCATGATTTAATAACCTTCTGCTAGAACTTTTATCCATTTCTCTTAGGCCAATTGCACAGTCCCTAATGCCATTCACAATACAGTTTATGGTCAGACTACAAATATGATGTCATGGGACTGAAGGCTTCTGGGACTGAGGCTAGTAAGCTAACAGGGACCATGTGCACTCAGGCCACAAAGTCCTTGGCGGGCACAGAAGGAAATACAGACGGTAAACAAATAAGTACAGGTGGATAACATCAGCCGCTGCAACTGGCAGACAGTGTGAAACCCGTGGAGTGACTAGGCCTGGTATAAATTCCTTCAGAGCATTGTCTTCTGCCTGAGGCACCTCAGGCTTCAGCCCCAGCAACTAACTTTAGGGCCTAAGGGGCAGAGAACATTAGGATGGCATTCTGATATGACTAACCACAGTACCACCTCTGATACCTACCTACACTGAGAGAGAGAGAGAGAGAGAGAGAGAGAGAGAGAGAGAAGGGAAGGGTGGTAAGGTCAGTGGTAGAGCATGTGCAAAAAGCCCTATGGGCAGGGCTAGGAAAAAACAAGCCCCTAGTGATTTTGGTGGTGGCAGCAAAAAGAAAAAACGGTGTTGAGAATTGCCCCCTTCTTAATTATTGATTCAATCATCTGCTGGGTGAGGAGGGGTTGATCGGCAT